TTTTTTTTTTAAAAAAAAAAAAAAAAAAAAAAAGCGTTACTTTAAAGGATGAGATTCAAGAAATAAAAAGAACGAAGACCATTTTTATATGTCTAATGTACTTTTTCAGTTGAAGAAGCTCTAATTTGGAGTGGTTTCTTTCTTTGTGACATGTATATATAGCATCCTCCCCAAGTTAGTGTAACAATATCAATAATTATGTTGACCATTTTTTTTGTTTTTTGAGTCAAGACAAAAGTATAGTTTTGTCTCTTTATTTTTATTTTTTCTTTTCTTTTTAGGGACTTTTTTGATAAAATCATTTTTCAGTGTTTAGTTACTTAAAAATATGTTCTAAAAATATTATAAATTATAAGAAAAAAGGACATCTATCATTTTTTAAGGAATCTAATATGAGTGAGTTATTTTTCTTTAAATAATATTTTAATTCTTCATTTTAATTATTTCAATCGGTACTTATGTATATTAAATGTTCAAAAACATCATAAAATCATTATTTCTCTGTTATATCTTTCACATTGTATTATTAATTACGAATGACATTTTTAAAATCATTAAAAAAAGGTAAAATATTTTTTTTTATTCTCTTATATCAAACACAACCTTAGTGATTTTTTAATAACATATATCTAATAAATAATATAAAACCTCAAAAAATCTGAATTTATAATTATTCTACTTGTTACCATTCATTGGTCCATTTACCAATATTCGAACATTTAAAATTACTTTTTCTAATTTTATTCTATATTCTTCTTTTTTATTCAATTGAAATTCTGATATATATATTTTTAGATATGGAGAAAATTCTATTGGGAGCATCACCCTCGAATGGACTTCGCATTGTATAATTTGTATTTAATCAGAGCTCCAATGCTAACTCTTAACACCGGATCAAGTGGGAAACCAAAAAATAAAATGAAAACTAAACAAAAAATGGAGAACAGTTGGATGAAAATAAGACCAAAATTAATGCAATTCAATCTTTAAAATGTTACATTTAAAACAACCCACACTATTCATGTTTAATACAGACAGAAAAAAAATTGTCAAATTTATCAGTTACACTTTTGTTTTAGTTTTGACTATCTTCACATTGGAATCCCATCGTCAAATGTCATTAATTTCAATGGCAAATAAAAATTAATGATATTGCCACATGTTTTTTTATTTTTAATAATTGTTTTATTTTTTTATTTATTTAAAGTCGAGTTAAAGTAAATATCATATTTTTAATTAATTATGTTTTTTCTAGTATGTGTGTGCAATCATACAAATATATTTGTACTTGTATTGTAAATTACATGTATTTGAAAAAATAATCAACTCATAAAGAAAAATTAATACGAAAGTTCTTTCACTTATAATGACATATATTTAATAAGGTTGTAATTAAGTCATTGTACTTTATTTTACTTATGGAAAAGGGTCATATTCACCCTTCGTCATACTTTTTTGAATAACAGCCACAAGTATACCTTGACTTGATTAAAATTCAATTTTTGATATTTTTCTGAATTACAATCATAAACAAAGCAGCCGAAATGACCGCTAAGGTGATCTTGTCAAAACGCCCTTTCAAGTATAACTTTTTGGTAAAACTTTTGCTTCTCAACAATCTTTTCTCTAGGATAAAAAGGTGATTCTTCTGAGATCTTGTAAAGCTACGGAGAGAAAGGTGAAGGCCATTGTCTCTGTATTATCATGTTTTGATGGCTAAATTAATGTGAAAGGATGGGTATTGAAATAGGGTTAATGGGTCTTTATTTTGGTTAGGTCGAATTTTACTAAATGGGTCGATAGAATACTAAATAGAAAATAAAATTTTAATTATAATAAAAATATATACACATGGAGCCATGTAAGCGCCATGTAGGCGTCACGTAGACTTATAAAAATGGTGCACAATACTTAACTGTACAAGGGCAAATATGTGCCTAAAGGTGGATGGTAAGGGCAAATATATCAAAAAAGTATGACGAAGGATAAATATGACCATTTTCTAAGAGTTTAAGGGCAAATATAACCCGTTTTCGTATTTTTTTTTTTGGGGGAGGGGGGTAATGTGGTTGGGGTAGAAAAAAAATTAAAAATAAAGTCTTAAATTTTTTTGTGGGGTTTGGGGGTAGTCAGGAGGGATTGGACGGAGTAAAAAAACACAAAAAATTTAAAATTTGAACTACTTTGTAAAAATTAAAATTTTGAAATTGTTAATTTTTTTTTTGGTTGGGGAAGGGGATAGTTGGGGGGTAGGGGGTAAAATATATTTATTTTTTTAAAAAGAAATTTTAATTATTATTTTTTTGAATGGGAGAGTTGGTGTAAGAAAAAAAATTGTAATTTGAGATTGGAGAAGAGTTTTGAAAAACATTTTTCCTAATTTCCGAAGGGAAGTCATTTTCCTAAATGTGAGGAAAATAAGTTGATTTGGAAAACATCTTTCAAAACATTTAAGCCAACCAAACATGAGAAATTGGAAAACAATTTTCAGAAAATGTTTTCCTTCATAATTAATCATCCCTCAACTATGACTCAAATCTAATGTACATCCTTATATTATCTAAGTGAGCAAAGGACATCCTTATACTATCCAAAAAATAACAAGAATCACCCTTCATTAATCTATTTTTGTCAAGAAACTGATTGAACCAATAATTTTGTATTTTTTTTTAATTTGGTCATGTCTTAGCCACGGTGAGAAGATCAAAGTTACCTAAAAAGAATAAGGATATGAATATGAAATGAATCTTTCATTCTCGAAATTTAGATTTTGTGTGTTCTTAGTTTTTATGTATTTTGCATCATCATGTAAATTGACTGGCAACAATACATAAGTCTTGAAATAATTATACAGTAGGTTCCGATGGTTAGAAAAATTATGTAAAAAATACATTTTAAAAATATTATGCCCAACAATTTAGAGATTTTATTTAATAAAATATTCAGTATGTATGTATGTTATATACAATGCAATTCACATTTTATACAATGTACAAAAATACTGGAAATTTAGGGAAATTACGTACATGTTTAGTTATGAAAATAAATTGCTTTATTTGAAATTTTTAAAAGTTGGAGTTCTATTTGACCATACTTTTTACAAAGAATATTTAGAATTTGAATATATTTTGTCGGAATATGATTTAAACCCTCAAATTTCTAAAAATTAGAAAAAATCACCCAACTCGACTAGCTTAACCATGTGTACATATATTCATTCGACTTGACATATTTTTTTTGTTGGTGGCGTGAGTTTCTTAAAAAAATAGAACAAAAGGATGAATCTTGCAACTTTTTGGATAGTGCAAGTCTTGAAATAATTATACAGTAGGTTCCGATGGTTAGAAAGATTATGTAAAAAATACATTTTAAAAATATTATGCCCAACTATTTAGAGATTTTATTTAATAAAATAGTCAGTATGTATGTACGTTATATACAATGCAATTCACATTTTATACAATGTACAAAAATGCTGGAAATTTAGGGAAATTACGTACATGTTTAGTTATGAAAATAAGAAAAAATAATTGTTTTATTTGAAATTTTTGAAGTTGGAGTTGTATTTGACCATACTTTTTAAAAAGAATATTTAGAATTTGAATATATTTTGTCTGAATATGATTTAAACCCTCAATTTCTAAAAATTAGAAAAATCACCCAACTCGACTAGCTTAACCATGTGTATGTATATTCATTCGACTTGACACATTTTTTTTGTTGGTGGCGTGAGTTTCTTAAAAAAATAGACAAAAGAATGAATCTTGCAACTTTTTGGATAGTGCAAGGATGATTTTAGATTTAAGTCATACTTTAGGAATGAATTTAGCCAAAAACTCTACCAAACACACCCTTAATGAAGAACTTGTAGAAGTGTTTAGTTTATGGAAGAGTATCTAACATGCATTATGGATGAATCATTTGATTAAGAGTTTGCTATGTGTCTCTTAGTTAAAATTAGGGCAAATTTGGGCTAAAATATTATGACACTAGTATATTTGCACCTTAAGTATAATGAAAGGGGTATTTATGTATCGAAAATATAACGAAGAATTTATTTAAACTATTTCTAATAGTATAGAGATTATAGCCGTCAAAATGGGTTTAGCCCATGGTGCTGGCCCAACCCAACCCATTTAAAACTAGGGCTTATAAGCCCAATCCATATAAGCCCTTGGCCCTTGAGGCTTGATCCAAGCTGGGTCGGGGTTGGCCCATGGGGCCAAAATTATTTATTTAAGGTATCTTACAATACTCTCTAATATATGATCTAATTATTTAAATGCACGTTATGTTGTAATAGTATGAATCTTACCAGATTTTGGTACGTCCAAATACATGTATCTCGGGATACGGACTCAAAATTAAGTTAGTTTTTTCTAGATACACTCTATCTAAGTGGATTCACATGTATATAGGATGCATAAACAAATTCCGCAACCCCGCTTCCCTCCGATCTCGCTTGCCACTCTCTTATCTCGCTCACGTATCTGAGATGCATCATAATAGATACATGTATATCTCATATCTAGTATCCTAATATTCTAATTACACTAGATCTTTTGCTAGTGTTATTGAAACAACACCATTATTAGTCATATTTGA